ACAATGCATCACTGCTGTTCCTTAAGCGCCACCTGCTGACAGAGAGTGAATTTGCATTTTCATTCAGCCCATCTGCTGTTTGGTATGTTTTATGTAGCCTAATTTCACAAAGCTAAAGTCAGGCCATTCTGTTTTTGCTTCAGGTTTTGAAATTATACAGTCTAATTTAGATAAAAATATAGGCTAATAAAGCAACTAACCATATTCTTCATTATTTCTTGTCTTTTGCTCTAATTTAGTTCTCTAATTTAAATAGCTAGCTGAGGTAATGTCTTTTTTCTTTTTTTTTCTTTTTTTTGTGATAGTCGTTCATGAGTCCCTTGTTTGTCTCGAACATTAAAATTGCCTGCTGTTCTTCAGAAAAATCCTTCAGGTCCCACAATGTTTTTGGTTTTCCAGCATCTTTTGCGTATTTGAACCCTTTCCAACAATGACTGTAATGATTTTGAGATCCATCTTTTCACACTGAGAGACTCATAAGAAACTTGCCAAAGAATTTGTGGGACTTGAATGATTGAAGAACAACGTGCAGTTTAACTGTTCGAGACAAACAAGGGACTCATGAACGACTATCACAAAAAACAAAACAAAAAACAGCTGTGGATCATCCAGGTAACAACACCGTATTAAGAATCGAGCATATGTAATCTTTTGAACGGGGTCATTTTTATAAATTCAACTATTAATTTCTCTTGTGGACTATATTTAAACAAGATATGTGAAATATCTTATTCAGGTCAGCACTAAATAAAAAAATAACATGAATTTTGTATGATCCCTCTTATTTTGGTAAAATAATTAACATTTTGCAGATACTGCAAAGCATATGTAAAATTTTGACCGCAGTGCATATATATATATATATATTCAGCAGAGCATCATTAAAATATTACCTTATGTAAACAGTTAGAAATGCATCGAAACTTAAGTTCATAAATTAATGTGTGATCTGTTAAGTGTCATAGTTTGTTTATTAATAAAACTTCCAGCAACCAAAATGGTACATTTCCTAAGCTATATAGAGGCACTCGTCTCCAGATCAGAACAGCAGTGATGCGCATCAGCACCTCTGATTGACAGCTGTCAACTCCATTCATAGAGTTATGAATACTTGCAAGAAAGTAACAACGTTATTGAGATCGCTCACTGTGTGGATAGAACATTTGCTCCTACTTTTCGCTCATGACTCAAAAAACATAAATGATCAAGCGACACATTTGCATGAAGCTAGCTGCTAAATATAAGCCATTCTGCTCAATGGACCGGTTTATTTCATTTTTTTTGTTGTTTGAGCTCATGAAGCAGGCAATACTCTAAACCGCATGAAGTAAAGAGTGTAAACCATTAAACCGGCTTATTATTAATGAAATGTACCGTCATTCTGATCTATTCGCTGTAACTCCGGCAGGATTTGTTGACGCGTGAAACCCACGCTGCACTCGGCTGATGACACCG